TGGCACGGCTTCAGGCCAAAAACACCGCCCCAGGCCCCGACGGGATCCCCGGACGCATATGGGTCCTGGCGCTACGGAACGGATTTGACGGCAGGTTCCGAGATTTACTTTCTCGGTGCCTCAAGGACTATACTTTCCCAGGAGACTGGAAGACGGGGAAACTCGTATTGATTGGGAAGGCGGGAAGACCGGCAGATTCGCCCTCGGCGTACCGCCCGATCGTCTTGCTCGGGGAGGCGGGTAAGCTTTTTGAGCGCGTTATTGCGACCCGTCTCTCTGAGCACCTCGATCGAGTAGGGCCAAATCTGGCGGACTGCCAGTACGGTTTCCGGCGCGGCCGCTCCACCATCGATGCTATTGCACGGGTGAGGGCCGTCGCCGAAGAGGAGGTCTTGACGGGCGGCGTGGTGTTGGCGGTATCTTTAGATATCGCCAACGCTTTTAACACGCTGCCTCACGCTTGTATAATGGAGGCCCTGCGGTTTCATGGGGTCCCATTATACTTGCGGGAGACGATCAAGGCCTACCTATCGGACAGGACTGTGGTCTATCCCACATTTACCGGACTTGGACAGAAGAGAGTGTCGTGCGGCGTTCCACAAGGTTCCGTTTTAGGGCCATTATTGTGGAACGTCGGTTACGACTGGGTCCTTCGGGGCCCGACTCTCGGCGGCGTTAGCGTCGTTTGTTACGCGGACGATACATTGGTGTTGGCAAGGGGCGGTAGCTATCGGGAGGCGAGCGTGGTAGCTACCGCCGGAGTAGCCCAAGTAGTGGGCAGGATTCGGAGACTGGGCCTGACGGTGGCCTTGGAAAAATCCGAGGCCCTGTGTTTTCACGGGCCTCGCCGAGCGCCACCGCCAGGTGCTCAATTGATCGTGGGCGGAGTTTCCATCGGCGTCGGGCACACAATGAAGTACTTGGGAGTTGTGCTCGACAGCCGGTGGAACTTCAGAGAACACTTCCGGCGGTTGGCTCCGAAGCTCGCGCGCACCTCGTTCGCCCTGAGCAGGTTACTGCCTAATCTGGGCGGACCGAGCGCGAGTTGTCGGCGCCTCTACGCCGGAATTGTACGTTCGATGGCCCTATACGGGGCACCTATCTGGGCGGATGCCCTCGAGCGCCACAACAAAGCCCAACTGCGCAGGTCGCAGAGGGTTGTGGCGCTCAGAGCGGCAAGGGCATACCGCACCGTTTCGTGCGAGGCGGCATGCCTCTTGGCCGGGACTCCCCCATGGGAGCTGGAGGCTTTGGCGTTGGCGGACATCTACTGGAAGTCCGCCAACGCCAAAGGTCGGGGGGAGGTCCCAAGTGGAGAAGAGATCGTTGAGTGGCGACGGAACGCACGAGACGTTGTACAACGATGCTGGCTCGAACAGCTGAGCCAGCCGGGAGCGGGCCGCCGCACCATTGCGGCGATCCGCCCCGTCCTACGAGAGTGGCTAACGAGGCGGTGGGGTGCGCTCTCATATCGCCTAGTGCAGGTCCTCTCGGGGCATGGCTGCTTCGGGAGGTACCTGTGCAACGTGGCCAGACGGGAGCGCACTCCGCAGTGCCGT